GCACGCCCCTGCTTGCGAGGCGGAGCTTTAGCCATCCGGCGACATCGGCAGGCGGTGGGCACAGAGGCTGCTGGCCCCCTGGGAGGCCCGACCACGTCCACGTCCGCCGCCCGCCGAGCTCCCCGCAGGTCGACCGCCCAAACGGCGGTCATGGATAGACCTCCGCCTGGGGACGCCTCCTCCCCACAACAGCCGCTCGGGGATCTACAGAGTGCCGATGGCAGTGCTCCCTGGACCCGTCCTGGGGTGCGTGCTCACCCAGCATTCCGAATGGGAGTCCAGCCGTGGCGGCTCGCTTCGGGGATCTTCTGACCCGGGTCAATCCAGACCCGGGTCAGCAGGAAACCAAAAAACTGCAATGCAGGAAAAAAAAAAAAAAACTGCAACGCAGGTCTTCGCAAACCCGGGTCAAGCAATAGGCGCGGCCGCCTCGCGGCCACGAGCGGCTCGCTAACCCGGGTCAGCCAGAGGGGGTCTCCGCAAGATCCTGCAGGATCTGGCGCCCTGGCTGACCCCCGTCTGCATTGACCCCCGTCTCTTGGCTCCCGATTAGGACGAGAAGCGGGACCGGCATCTCTTCCCCATCTGAGACAAGCAGTCGAGAAGCCGCGCGTCCCCCCCACAACCCGGGCGGGGCCTCGGCCACGTCCGTCCCGAGCTGCCCGCCCACCAGCCACGGGTGCCGCGAACCCTCGCTCAGGCTCAGCCTCGCCGGTTGTGTTAGGTGGGGAGGAGGGAGGAGGAGGAGGAGGAGGAGGAGGAGGAGGAGGAGGAGGAGGAAGAAGAAGAATTAGAAGAAGGAGAAGAAGAGGAAGAAGAAGAAGAAGAAGAGGAAGAGGAAAACGAGGAGAAGCGAAATAGAGGAGGAGGAGGAGGAGGAGGAGGAGGAGGAGGAGGAGGAGGGCGGGAGTCCTCAGTGGGCACCTCAGAAAGCGGGGACCCAGGGCACCCTCCAGAGCGCTGGTCCAATCGGGCCAGTAGACCCGAAAGAGGGGGGACCCAACACAGGCCCACGGGCCTCCCAATTTTTCACACCGTCGCAGCCACGCTATAGCCTGCTCCTTCCCTGCCTTTTCCCCGCCTCCATCTTATGATGTGAGGCTATGTTGTTCCCCCTCCTTCTCCCCTACATCCTGGTCTGCGGGACGTCGGTCCCAAATGTTGTGCTTTCGCCTACTCCCCCAAGGAGGCCCGACCGGGCCTCCCTGGGGGAGGTGGCAGCATCTGAAGACCTTCATGCCGTGAGGAACCAAGAAACCGAGGAGGAGGATGACGACGAGAGGAGGAGGAGGAGGAGGAGGAGGAGGAGGAGGAGGAGGAGGAGGACGAGGACGAGGACGAGGAGGAGGAGGAGGAGGAGGAGGGAGGAAGGAGGAGACGCCGTGGGGGGGGGGGGACGGCAAGCACGCGCGGGGCAGCCGCTGGTCGACGCTGACCTTGAGCAGCCCCTGCACCATGTCGCGGGCCTCCGAGGACACGAAGCCCCACGACTGGCCGTGGTGCACCTCTTGGGGCACAGCCCGGCGCGGCTCCGCCGGCATGACGAGACGTGCTGATGGTGACTATGGCGGCGAGAAAGATGAGGGTGATGAGGGTGCCCTTTGACCCATTCGTGTCCCGCGGAAGCCCCCCCCAGCCAGCACAGGGACGGGTCAGCAACTTAGCTTAGGCCCGGAGCTCGGGTCCGTGGGCGCCCGCCCTCCGCGGCCAACCGCTCCGTCTTGGCTCACCACGCGGGCAAGGACGCCCCACGAGCACAGCCCCCCCACCACAGGGCCAGGCAGTTCCTGGAGGGGGAAAAGTACCCGGGGCCCTCGACGATTGACTCCAAGGCGCTGCTCAAGTCACAACTAAACAAAAACAGAGAGCCCGCAAAAATCCGAGACGACCCCTGCTCCGAAACAACGATGTCCGAGATCCCCAGAATTTCGGGAGTGAGGCGGAAGAGAAGAGGAGGAGGAAGGGGCAATAACTCTGGCCTCGGAATCTCTGGAGATCTACATGTAGATCTACCCCCGCTCCTGTGACTGGGCCTGATACTCCCCTAAATCGACAAGACTCTGAAGCACCTTCCTCACATTCAGACCCTTTGGCGGACAGCCTGCTTTCTTGACGCCCCCTTCCGCCCGTAGAAGACACGCGTGGGCATCCTCCGCCACCGGCCTCAGGTTCGGGGTTGTGAAGAGCTCGATACGGCACAGGTCGTCGCACCCTTTCTGCCGGGGAAGCGCTGTCTTCGGGCAGCACACGATGACGTTGTCCTCGAGGTCGGCCACGCCGCGCACCGCCTGGGAATACGCAGCGGTGGCCTTCACATCTGCAGATCTCGTCCTGTCGTTCACCGACGACGGGCACAGCCCGATCCTCGCGCGCCTGCGCCGCCCACTTCAGCCTGGGGCCGTCTCCTCGCGGTTGCCCGTCTGCACTGCCAGTTCGCCCCCTCGAAGCGAACTCCCGAGGCACTCATCGCGCCGAGTTGGACGCGACCTGGCTTCACCAACGCCACAAGAGTAGGTGGACCATGAACTCGTCTTACCAGCCTGGAACCTATCCCTGTCCCTATGCTGGGCGTCTCCTCATGACGATGCCAATCTTAGGGATTCCGTTATTGTTTGAGGGCGCATCCCTAAGATTGTCATCGCCTTTTGGCGTGTCAATCTTAGGGATAGGGATAAGTGCGAGGCAGGTAATCGTCGCGATACAAGATCCATGCCCACCACCCACTTCGCCGCGTTCACCACCACGCCACGACACTCCTCGTCGAAGTTGCCCCCCACCGCGCGCCTCTCAGCAGCCCGGGCTTCGCCCGCGCCTGGAGCGCCAACAGCTGCCAGGGCCCATCGCCTGCTGCGTCGCCTGCATCGCGCAGATCCTCGAGAGGCACTGGGGCTGCAGCATTTGCTGGCACGCTGGGCCCTGGAAGAGAAACGGAAACCTCGCGTTCAGCTCGAACCGCGCCCTGCCCGCGCACTATGCTCGTGCACAGGAGAGGCACCGGTGGCCTCGCGGTCCCCGCAGGGGCAGCTCCCTCCGATGGTTTGTTGGGGCCCACGGGCCCCACCTGGCTGTCGGTGTCCCATCGAGCCCCGCCGATGCGCGCCCTCCTCGTCGTTCAGGACGCATACAACGTTTGGCACGCACTTCGACGTGTGATTGCCAAAGACCGCAGTGCGACGCACAGCTCCCCCGGCCATGCTCTGATGCACTGATCGATGTATCCCCCCCTCGCTTCCGAAGCTCAGAACCACCCTAGACCGCGCCAACCCTTCTGGGCCGCCGTCAATCTCTGATCAGTCTCGTGATATGCCCCTCCATCTAGATTATGGAACCCTCCTAGATGCCGCATCCACTGTTGCGATACACCTTCGCATTTGAGCGCGCTCCGCTGGCGGTAAGCACCGCGCGTGAAAGCATCCGAACCTCGTCCGCAACTTCGCATTGAAATCTCCTTATGACTCCCATTATGATATAATTCCGCGGCGCCCGCGACCACGCGCTGGAGTCCATCGCCCGGAGCTCCGAGCTTCGCAACTCCCTGTTGGGCCTGAGCTTCGCCAGGCAGGAGACCGATCCAAGTCATACCATCAGCAGAAGGTCGCAACATACTCGCCGATCTTTTCGCAGGTGACGGGCCCGCGCACGTTGAACACGCAAGCCCACTTCCGCGACCCTAATCCAGTCATGCATCCTGGGACCGTATTGACAAGTAAGTCTCAACGGAGCCGCTGCATCTCCCTGGGGGGGGGCACATGTCAAATCCAGAAGAGGCTATTCCCCACGATGCAGGCCGAGATGCGCCATCGCCCGTCGATGCCCATGTTTAACGATGCGAGCCGAGTCGACGTCGAGCGCGAGGTCGCCGTGGGAGACGGATGCAAAGGCGTTAGGCATGTCATAAGAGGCCCGACCCACCTACTCCTCCCTCATCCCTTCTCCTTCCTCCTTCCTCCCTCCTCCTCCTCCTCCTCCTCCTCCACCTCCTCCTCCTCCTCATCATCATCATCACCACCACCACCACCACCACCACCACCACCACCATCATCATCATCATCATCATCATCATCACCACCACCATCATCATCATCATCATCATCACCATCATCACCATCACCATCATCATCATCATCATCATCATCATCATCATACATCATCATCAGTATCATCATCATCATCATCATCACATCATCATCATCATCATCATCATCATCATCATCATCATCATCATCATCATCATCACATCCCTACTCCTCCCTCCTCCTCCTCCTCCTCCATCTCCTCCTCCTCCTCTCCTCCTCCTCCTCCTCCTCCTTTTCCTCCTCCTTTTCTCCTCCTCTTCCTCCTCCTACTCCTTCTCCCCTCCTCCTCCTCCTCCTCCCCCCCCTCATCCCTCCTCCCTCCCCTCCTTCCCTTCCTCACGCTTCCCTCCCCCACCCCCCTCCCCCCCCCCCCCTGTCCTCCTCCCTCCTCCCTCCTGCTCTCCCATCCTCCACCCTCCTCCCTCCTTCCTCCTCCTCCTCCTCTCTCCTCTCTCCCTCCTCCCTCCTCACTCCTCCCTCCTCCTCTTGCTCCTCCCTCATCCCTCCTTGAGACCGCTTTTTGAATCGGCGATAACCCGGGTTATCCAGAGGGGGGAGGGGGGGGGCTGGCCGATAACCCAACCTTCGCGCTGTGGGCAACCCTTCGTATGCCCGCGCGCACCGATGCTGCGACCCCTACAGCTGCTAACGATGCTGCCGCGATGCTACTATTGGTGCTGCGACGATGCGGGCGCCGTCTGAGAACGCCTAGCGATGTCTGGATGGCTCGCATTGGAATACGCAGGATGTGATTGCTCAGCGCAGCCGCGAAGTTGTGCACACTATCTATAGAACATGCGTGCACCACACAACCTGTGAGCGCTAGACAAATTCGTGCGCCACAGCGGTCTTGCACACCACAGGTGCTGCTGCAGCAGAGGCTTCTCTCTGCGTGCACTACAGCGCGTGCACCCCGATGCCTGTGCACACCACAGGAGTAAGGTCCACCACAACGTATGGCTAATATTTACGCCATAGCGCTTCCGCGCACCTCCAAGGTCGCGCCCGGGCACAAATCTGGACAATCCCTGTGGGCCCGAACGTATCACATTCAATCTGTCAGTTATTTATGATCATTGATTTTTCTGGTTCGGGGCATGGTCCCTCTCCATTTTGGGCCGACCATGTCTGTGTACACCACGGTGCCTGTCTAGTGAACACCACGACGCCTGTGTACACCACAGCTGCTTCTGTACACCGCAGCGCCTGTCTAAACAACACTGCCTGTGTACACCACAATGCCTGTGTACACGACTGCAGCCGTGTGCACCACAGCGCCTGTGTGCACAGCGGTGCTAGTGCACACCACAGGGACCGCGTGCACCACAGCGCTTGGCGAACATTTGGGCAACAGCGCTTCCGTGCACCTCCAAGGTCCCGCCAGGGCCCAAATCTGGAAAATCCCCGTGGGCCAAACGTATCAAATTCAAAATGTAAGCTATCCCCCTGGGTTTGGCCGACCATGTCTGCGTACACCACAGTGCCTGTCTAGCGTGCGCCACGACGTCTCTGTCACGACGTCTCTGTACACCGCAGCTGCTCGTGTACACCGCAGCGCCTGTCTACACAGCAATGCCTGTGGACACCACAATGCCTATGTACACCACAGCAGCCGTGTGCACCTCAGCGCCTGTGTACACCACGCACACTGCTCGTGTACACGACGACGCCTATGTGCACCATAGCTCCGGTGCACCAAAAGGCTTGTGCACACCACAGAACTTAATACATTTCCAGGGCCTCCAAAGGGACCGAATTCCGGAAAATCGTGGGGAAACCGAACGTATCAAATCCAATATGTAAGCTATTTGTGATTATTGATTTTGTTGCGCAGGGAACGGTCCCGTCTTTTGGGCCCAGAACGCCTGTGCACACCATAGCGAATGTGCGCACAGCAGCGGATGTGTACATCACAGCGCCTGTGTACACCACAAGGTGTGGTACACCGCAATGTCCGTGCACCACAATGCTTCTGTACACCACCATGCCTGGGATGCCGTCGGGGATGATGATTAATGCTGCAGCAACAAATTTGCACACTTCAAAGCCTGTCTTCACCATTTTGCCTGGGTGCATCACGATTACCCTCGTGCACCGCGCGGCCTGCGTGCACTCATGCTTGCGTGCACCACAACACCTGCGTACACAACAGACCCTGCTGCAACAGCAGCAAACTCGCGCACCAAATCGCCTCGCTGCCTGTGCACAACGCAATGCCTGTGTACGCGCTGCTCACTTGCACCTCCAGATGCCTATGGACGACGTCGGTCGTCGTCGGTCGTCGATCGTCGATCGTCGGTCGTCGGTCGTCGGTCGTCGGTCGTCGGTCGTCGGTCGTTGTCGTCAACGTCGTCGTCGTCGTCGTAATGGTTCGTCGTCATCGTCTGTCGTCATCTGTCGTCATCGTCGTCGTCTCCCCATGCCACTTCAAGCCCCAACGTTTCGCCAACGTGCATCCAAACACCAGCATGCTGCGGCGATCTCCACCGTGTCGTTGAACACAGCGTTCCCTGCGAGCTCCCTGCGTCCTCCACCGGACCTGCACAACGGGCCAGGTCAGGTTATTATGGGAGAGGGGGGGGGGGGGGCGAGCCCGATAACCCGGATGATCGCCGGACCCCCAAAAAAACGGTCTCCTTCCTCTCTCCTCACGACCGCCTGTGGCCCAGGTGGGCCCAAGGCGAGGCCACCCCGGAGGACGCCTGCGTCGAGGCGCGGCGTGGACTGGCAGCGTGCGGGCTTGCTCCCAAGGTGGAGCGGGCGAACCTGCCCCCGCGTGCGCGGCCCCCGACGACCGTGCGTCCGTGCTCTCTGCAGCACAGTCTGCACGAGGTGGCGGATGGCCGCTGGCGGTGCGCTCAGCGCTTGCACGGCTTTGTGAGCTGGAAGGCCAGGATGGCCCACGAGCGTGGGCGCAGGGTGCCCAAGAGTTGGAGGAGCCTGCGAGAGAGCTCGCGGGCTCCCACGTTCCGTAGAGAGCGGTGCTCGGCCCGAAGGGCTGCTCACCAGAGCAGGGTGCCCTCTTGCTGTACTGCGTGCGGCGCGCGCAGTGTGCACCGCTGCACCCCGTCGGCCTGGCCCAGTGCTGCCCAGCCGAGCGGCCTGGCTTCGTCCTGGGCGGGATGGGCCGGGAACGGCTGAGCCGCGTCGAGCGTGGCCTCCACCCCAGAGCTGGGAGACGGGAGGTCGTCCTGGAGTGCTGGGCCCTCAAAGATCTCGGCTCCCTCGCTCGCGGGAGTGAAGACTGTGCGCAGTGCACCTCTGCAGCGGGCACGATCGGCGTACACAGGGGGAGCACAAAAACTCCTGCCGCCCCCTTCCCCCCTCCCCCCTATCCCCCCATCCTCCTCCTCCCTCCTCCCTCCTCCCCCCTCCCTCCTCCAACACCTCCTCCTCCTCCTCCTCCTCCTCCTCCTCCTCCTCC